CCACCATTTGTTGTTTAGATGCAAAGAATGTGAAAGACTAAATCTACAGTCGCAATAACACAAAACAAGCTCTTAAAGCAGATATTTTAAGAGCCAGGGCGGATGAACATTCAAGCACAAACTCTGTTCTTGAGACATTTCTACATGTGCTTAGATGCTGGGCTGGGAACTCCCTGGAGAGACAATAAATGCAGGATGCCTTTCTTGCTCAAGGAGCACACTATTTCCAAAAAGGCTGACATATACGATTAATTCTGATACTACAGGATAAGTATTTAGGAATAATGTATAAAGTAGGCGAACACAAGCACCTAATAAAAAGCGATTAAGCATGATTGAGGAGGGTAAAGAAGCTTTACAGAGTCAGTGACGGGGTTTACCTTGAAGGACGCATAGATTTTCACCAGGAGAAATTTGGAAGAAGGTACATTAGGTAGAGGAAACAGTATGAGTTAAAGTAAAAAGGTATGGACCAGGGGTGGCACGGAGGTTAAGGACGCTGGACTCCCACATGGGCGACCATGAGCCCCAGACCTGGTGGCTTGCTTTCTTTTTCACTTTCCTCTCTCTCTCTCTCTCTCTCTCTCTCTCTCTCTCTCTGTCTCACTTTCTCTCTGATCAAATTAAATAAATAAATAAAGTAAAATAAAATAATTCTTAAAAAAATTAAGTAGGCAAGTGTGAAAGTACACAGTTTATTCAGCAGTGTATGCAAGGTTCACTGTGGCTGGAGTAGAGGGTATTGGGAAGAAAGATGAGATTGGAGAAATTGATTACACTCAAATCACATAAGGCCTTCAGTGTGCCAAGAACCTTGGGATTTATTGCAAAGAAATAGGAAAACATTAGGCTTTTTAAAAACACATGATTACAGCAAAGGAGGTATTTTTCAGAAGGATGATTAGATTAGGCATGGACAGGAGGAGACAAGAAGCTGAAGACAGGGGGGGAGAAATGCTTCTAAATATAAAGGAAGAGATAATCTAACAACACAAAACAACTTCAAAATACATGAGAAAAAGATAATTCTCTCCATTCCTACTCTACACCATAGATGCTGGTGCCATGAAATAGTTACCTGAAATTCTGGAGTTTCAATTCTTACGAACCCTGTGGAATTCCTAGTGTGAAGCACTGTTTTGGTTATAAAAAAACAGGCTAGGCTCAGCCTGTGTGGTGTGAGCAGCACTAAGGCATGTGCGGTGCTGAAGCCACACAGGCAACCCCAGGTTTGTATCCACAGGCCAGGCAGACTGAGACACGGGCCATGGGCATGAGCATGTGTGCCCAAGATTCTGGAGACCTGGAGGGCTGAGGGAAGGGGATTGTGGCTTGACCATACCCTACTGGAATGTCTTTCTCTCTCTGTTTCTCTTTCTTTCCTATATGTGCACACATTTTCTATCATGAATAAAATAAACATACAAAAAAGCATGCATAATAAAAAGTATCCAAATTAGAAAAAAAGTAAAATTATCAATATTTTGTTCATGATGTGATCTTATATGTAGAATAACCTAAGATTCTCAACACACACATACACACACACACATTCGTTGGAGATAATAGATCCAGTTAAGTTACAGGATACAAAATCAACACATGAAAATCATTAGCATTTTTATACACTAGCAAGCAATGAACAATCTGAAAAAAAATTAGGGAAAAATTCTAATCACAAAAGCATTAAAAAAAGTGCTAAGAAAAAAAATGGGGAAGACTTTCATACTGAAAAAGCGTGTAAACAGTAAAAAAAAAATTAAAGAAGAAATAAATAAATGGCAAAGTATCCCATGTTCATGGACTGGAAGATTTTATATTGTTAAGATGACAATACAACCCAAATTAATCTATAGGCTCATTGGAAACCCTATTAATCTCTTAATAGTATTATTTCCAGAAAGAGAAAAGCTCATCCTAAAATTCATATGGAATCTTAACAGATACCAAAGAGCCAAAACAATCTTTAAAAAGAATAAAACTGAGGTTGGTACTTCCCGATGTCAAATCTTATTACAAAGATACAGTAACTATAGTAGTATGACACTAGCAAAAAGACCTATAGGCCAATGGAATAAAACAGAGAACCCAGAAATAAACCCTAAGATATATAGAAAATAAAGTTTCAAAAAGGGTGCTGAAATCATTTACTAGGGAAAGGACAATCTTTTAAATAAATAAATGGTTCTGGAAAAAAATATAACATCCACATGGAAAAAAATTAGTTTTATACATTGTATCATATACAGACAATAATTCAAAATGAATCAAAGACCAAAATGTAAAGAGCTAAAACTATAAAACCCTTAAAAGAGGGCAAGCAAGTGACATGGAGTAACCTTCATACTGAATCCCACACAACCAACTCTGTAGTTCGAGTCCTGGACCCAGCAGCTGGACAAATCACACCAGGTATGTATGTGTGCATATCCAAAATCCCAAAAGGAGAGTGGACTACAAGGAATTACAGTGTGGCTATCCTCTCTGAAGGATGAGCCATAACAACAACAAGAAAAAAACCCTTAGAAGAAAATAGAGGGTTGGAGCCAGCAGATAGCATGGTGGTTAAGGTGCTGGACGCCCATATGGTGAACCGCATTTTGAGTACTGGATCTAGAGGCTTGAAAATCATGCTGGATACGTGTGTGTGCATGCCCAAGACCCCAAGAGGTGAATGGAGAAGGGACTGCAGCTTGGTCACCCTCTCTAGGGGGATGATTTCTCACTTTCCCTCTCACTGTCTTTCTCCTGCAGGCGCACATGCCCTATGGCAAAACCCCTAAAAAAAATAAAATAAGGACAAAACCAAAGGGTAACATTTTTATGAAACTGGATTTGACAATGATATCTTGATACCAAAAGTATAGGAAAAGGGCCAGTTCAGTAGCACAATGGTTAAGGGCTGTGTATAGAAAGCTAGATCTCATATGGCAAGTGGTGGTTCGAATCCCAGTCCCAGCAGCTTGGGAAATACACCAGGTGCACATATGTTCATGTCCAAAATCCTGACAGAATGGAGAAATGGAGAAAAAAGGGTACAGCATGACCTCCTCCCATTGGGAGGTGTCCTCTCTCTTTCTCTCATAAGCATGTGCATATGTAAATGCTCTCTGGCAATAAAAAACAAAACAGAAACCAAAACAACACATTGCTTTAAGGAGCACTATCAAGCATGAAAAGACAACTCACAGGATGGAAAAATATATTTACCAATCAGGTATTTGATAAGGGATTAATATCCAGAATATACAAAGAAATTCTGTATTCCAAGAACAGCAACAAAATAAACACAACTCAAGAATGGGCAAAGGACTTGAGTCATTTCTCCAAAGAAGATATACAAATAGTTAATAAGCCCATGAAAATATGCTTCCTGTCATGAGTCATTAGGGATAATCAAAACCACAATGAGATACCATTTCATAACCATTAGAATGATTATTACAAGAAAAAGAAAGAAAGAAAAAAGACGATAACAAGCATTGGTGAGGACGCAGAGAACCTGGAACCTTGATGCATTGCTGGCAAGAATGTAAAATAGTTCAGCTGTGGAAAGTGATGTAGCCATTTCTTTAAACGTTAAACACAGAACTTGATCCAGATACTCTACCGGTAAGTGCATATTCAAAAGGACCGAAGGCAAACACTCTAAGAGAGATTTGTACACCAATGTTCCAGCAGCATTGTTCACAATAATCAAAAGGTTGGAGACAACCACGTATCGACCAACAACTGGCTGGATAAACACAATGCGCTATACGCACAGTGAAATATGACTCACCCATAAAAAGAAATGAAGTTCTAACAAGTGCCTCAACACAGATGAGCCTTGAAAACAATATGCTCAGTGGGGCCAGCAGTTGGCATGGTGGTTAAGGGTGTTGGACTCCCACATGGAGGTCCACAGTTTGAGTCCCAGACCTGGTGCCCTGCTTTCTCACTTTCCCTCTCTTTTTCTCGCTTACTCTGTCCCTCTCTGGTCAAATTAAATAAATAAAGTTAAACTTAAAAAACAAATTATGCTGACCAAAATAAATGGGACAAAGAAGGACAAATACTGTATGCGTCTATATATATGAAGTACCTCGAGTAGTCAAATTCATAGAGACAGAAATAGGGTTATGGTTGGCCAGAGGCCTGAAAAGGGGGAGAATGGGAGTTATTGGGTAATGGGTATGAAGTTTCTGTCTGGCTATAATGAAAATCTTGGGACCCACACTTGGCATGGTAGTTAATGGTGCTGGACTCCCACATGGAAGACCGAGGTTTGAGTCCCAGACCTGGCAGCTTACTTTCTCACTTTCCCTCTCTCTTTCTCTCTGTCTCTCACTCTGTCCTTTCCTAGTCAAATTAAATAAAATATAAATAAGTAAAGTTAAATAATTCTTTTTTTGAAAAAAGAAAATCTTATTTTATATTATGGTGCTGGTTGTACAGCAATGAGATGTAGTTGAACTGATTGAACATTTAAAAATGACTTATATGGGGTCGGCAGGTGGCATGGTGGTTAAGGCACTGGACTCCCACATGGCTGGCTGAAGGGTTTGAATCCTAGACCTGGCAGTTTGAAAATCATGCCAGATACATATGCATGCACGTCCAAAATCCCCAGAGGAGGCTAGGAGAGAAGGGAAAGTGGCAAGGTCATCTCCTTGGGGGTGATTTCTCACTTTCCCTCTCTCTTTCACTCTCTGGCAAGTGAACACACTTCATAGCAAAAGTGAAACAAAAGAACTAAAAAAAAAAAAAAGTTAATATGGTAAGTCTTGTTATGCATACTTTACTACAAAAACAAACAACAAAAACCCAGCTCGCATAGTACTATTGTGATTGTCGACGCGTCTCCCTCAGGTAAAGAAAATGGAGAAAACTACAAGGAGAGACACCTACGTCAAGACCCAGGTAGGAGATGCGATTGTGAACATAAATCCAAAGGCTGAGCCTGAGGGGGCTGTCCTCCGAAGACGAGGGGGACAAAATGCTCCACAATGACAACTTACATTGCAGTTGGATGAGCCGTCCAACGCTGGGTAAGACCCATCGGGCCAGTCAGCAGGGTCCAAGGCAGCCGTCTGCCGGTGCTGGGCCTCATACTCCTTGAGCTGCAACAAGAAAAATGGAGGACTGACATGGAAGCAATGGTCAAGTTGTCTCCTATCAGGAGAGGGATCACTCTGGGCACCTTCTTCATGCCACTGCTGGTGACTAAGCACCAGCTCAAGTCAAGTTTTCCAGAATGGAGGGAAAGACAAAGGCAATGTCCTGCAGGATTCATCCAAATCAAACCAAGAGAGGCAACAGATCTTTGTATCCTGTTACAAAACGTGCCCTAACTTCCCCATCCAACATCCTCCAACGCAAAATCCATCTTTGCTCAGATCCATCATAAATTCACAAACAGAAATTGTGTATAGTTTGACCTCTGAATTATCTCTCTTCATGCATAAATCAAAAACACATACCCCCTTTTCAGTAGGAGACAATGAGGTATAAAAGAATGGAGACATTTTTGTAAAACTGAAGTGGAAGCCTGAAACTAATTTTTTTTTTTTTTTGATAGAGGTTTTTACCTTAGGGCGAGTGTATTCACCAGGGGGAGAGAGAGACAGAGAGGGGAGAGAGAGACAGAGACAGAGACAGTGAGAGGGAAAGTGAGAAATCAGCATCCAGAAGGGATGACCACACCACAGTTTCTTCTCCTCCATTCTCCTCCTGGGATCTTGGACACGCATGCACACACACCCAGCATTGAGTTTCAATCCGCCGGGTCTAGAACTCGAACTATGGCTGGCCATGTGGGAGTTCAGTGATGTAACTGCTACGCCATCTGCTGGTTCCGCCCGAAACTAATTTTTAAAAATCACTTGCTATTCTTTTCAGGACTGCTTCAAGTTGCTAGTCCAATGTTATCACCTAACAAGTGTTATGAGGCTTATTGAGAATTTTGGGATAGGGAAGCAAATAACAAGATAATTAGAATATCCTCAAGAGATATTTAAAATTTAAGTTTAGAATCTTAGTTTCTGGTCTTTAAACAACACAGAAGGGCAAGTGAACAGCTATAGAAAAGTGAATAAAATTAACTCAGCAGAATTAGATGAAAGGTCTTTCAGAATGGCACATGTGAGAAGTTGCAGGTATTTTATGAAGCACAAAGAAATTAAACTCTGTGGGCTGACCTTGAGGCCTGAGGTAGCTGGAACCCACATGGCTGACCATAGTTCAAGTCCCAGGCCTGAGGGCTTACCAAACATGCTTGTTCCTTTATTTTTATAATTCACTTTGTCTCAAGAAGTTTTTTACTTAATTACAATTTCATAAAGGAATGGCAATTTATAATTTCCATTTGATAATTAATACATTTTACAGCAAATTAATGTTATTTTACATTAACTCCAGAAGTTATAAAAAATGACATTTTAAAGTGTGTGTTTCTGTCTTAAGCAGAAATATTCTCCTCATATCCTACACATCCCTAGTCTCATTGTTTTTTACAGATGAAGTCTATAACATGATTCCTAGAGAAATGACCATCTTCAGTAGATTAATGCTTATCCTACTTTGGAGATTTTTAAAGACAGTGATTTTATGTTTCAATTTCCACTAGTGTTTATTGCAAAGAACAATTCCATTATACAGAATTTAAATCTCCTCAGCTGCAATTCTAATTTAATTTGTCCTCGGTAGACATATTAAAAACAAACAAACAAAACAATCTTGAACACATTCTGAGTGTGCAGTGTTTGTCTGACAATCTTCCGGGCACTTGAAGACAGTGATTAGGTTCTTTTCTGCTTCTTCTCTGAGATAAAAATCTTTTCCAGCTTCTTCCATGGGACCAATTTTTAAGGACTTTTTTTTTTTTGTCAGACGGTACTTTGCATTTGTCAGAGAGAGAAGGAGAGAAAAGAGAAAGCACCTCCATGGGGCTTGGTCACGCAGCATTCTTTTTTCCCCCATTTTCCGTTATTGTAGGGACACATGCCCAATGTGTTTTTAAAGCCACCAGGGCTGGGATTTGAACAGTGGCCAGTCATGTGGGATCCAGCTATGTATAGTGTTTAACCACATCCTGTGTAGCCAGCTCAACCAGCTTTTAAAAACCTCTAATGGACTCTCTACATGAGCCTATCTCTGTTTCTAAATCTCTTTGATAGAAGAATTGATTCAGTAACACAAACAGTTCCCCAGTTTATAATCACGCTACATGGCGTACCAGATGTCCAGGTTACCTTTCTGGGCCTATTCACCACCGTGTAGTTACCCTCCGTGTAAACGCTACACCTACACTCTGCTCCAGAGAACATGACTGACAGAAGCTATCCCCCCTAAAGATGGCTGGAAGGCTGCTTTCTTTTCCCAAACTAGCTTTCGCATCATTTTCCCCAGGAGAACCAGTCCTGCAGTACAATTTGCCTGCTGGAGCTCCCCACTTCCTGTTGAGTCAGGCTGAGGTGGTCTTCCAGAACTACATCTCCGACCAGCTTCTTCACGTGCTTCTCCTGGTCCCTCCTTCACTCAGAGGTTATCATAGCCACAGGCACAAGAATGCCCATCTCAAATTCTGCTTCTGGGGAAGCTTACATTAGATACCTAGCATTAAAAAAATTTCAAGGGGCCAGCAGATGGAGCGGCAGTTAAGGCACTGGATTCTACATGGCCAACTGTATGGTTCAAGTCCTGGACCTGGTGGCATAAAACATATGCCAGGTGTCTGTGCATGTGTACCTAAAATCCTGCAAGGAGAATGGAAAAGACAGGATTGTGTTGGGGTCATTTCCTCCTGGAGAGGTGACTTCTCAGTCCACCTCTTTGTTTCTCTCTGGTGAGTGCACACAGTCTATGGCAAAAATCTAAATACAGACATTTTAAAAAGAAAAGTTCATAATGCTAAATGGCAACTACAGTGGCAAGCATTTGAAAATTCTCCCAAGGACTCTACTTTGGATCTTCCTACAGATGTGGTCTTATGGAATAAAGAATTGCCAGGTGAAGAAATACGTAATATTCAGTAATTAGATCACATTATATGACAGTGTTACGTGTTAATAATTATATCCTTTTTAAAGGAAATATGACCATTAAGTCAGGGTCATAGAGCTCTTTGAATTTCCTCAAGACTATGCTTCCAGTTAAAATTTCAAAGCACAGGGCCAGCACATGGCATGGTGGTTAAGGTGGGTGGATCCCACATGGCCAACTGTGTGGTTTGAATCTTTAACCAGCAGCTTGGGAAACAAGCAGAGCGTGTGTGTGCGTGCCCGAAATCCCGAGAGAAGACGGAGGAGAAGGGATTGCAGCACGGTCACTGCCCCAGGGTGGTGATTCCAATGCTGAGTTTTACTATGCCAAAGCAATTAATCCAACGCTTTTTTATCCAATGCTTTAAACATCACTTTATTCCCTGTACTACTATTTTCACACACCCACAAAAATCACTCAGGTAAATTAATAACCTACAGCTTCTAAGTATTTCACCGGGCTTCCTAAACCTTGCAAAACTAGTACAAGATCTGAATTCTCTCAACTTCCTTGCTGAGAGAGAGGACCTGGAGTTTGCGTTATTTAGAATATGCCAATTAGCTAGATCTTCACCTAAAACTGAACTATTTTTTTCACTAATGAGCCTGACTTTCTTAAAGCACACAGAGTAAGTATGCATTATGAAACTAATAGAAAATGTTTAAAATGCCATTAGATTTGATGGAACTATCCAGGTAATAAAATACAAAAACCGTTAGGGAAGCTAGCTACCTTTTAAAATTACAACTAAAGAAGACAGTCCACTGAGAGTGGTGGTCTAAGTTTCATCCTCCGCAAACACTCTCGCAGCTTTTCCGTTCACGTATCAGTTCCCGGAAGTCTTTTTCATCTTGATCTTCATTTGTATCAGATACTTGTGTTTTCTAGGATGTGAATCATGACTGTATCACTTACAGTGGATAAAGACTTGTATAAATGAGGCACAGGAGACCACACTGTCTTGACGTGAACACCAGCAAAATTTTTCCCAGTATGAGGACGCAATGTTCTAACTGGCATGTAGGCAAATTTCTCTCCTGCTAGGTTGTCCTGTAATTATCGATCTGGATTCAGAATCAGAAGTTCTACCCAAATCCAGGTGTTCTACCTACAAATCTTTAAATTTCTGATTGACAGCAAGACATACATTCCCTTACATCCTGGAGAGATGGCACACTTTTACAGTCTAAGGTGTTTTAGTCTCGCTCATATCAATGGCTATTAGGGAGGTCTGAGTGTTGACATTTCTTTTATAATTTTCTTTTTATTCTTAAAATTTATTCATTTATTTATTGAGAGGGTCTTTTTTGGTTTTTTTGGGGTTTTTTTTTTTGCTATAGGGTGTGTGCACTCGCCAGAAAGACGAAGAGAGACAGAGAGACAGAAAGCGAGAAATCACCACCACCACTCCCCCCTGAGGGGGGATGGCCACGCCGCAATCCCTTCTCCTCCATTCTCCTCTCAGGATCTTGAGCACGCATGCACACACGCCCGACGTGAGTGTAAGCCACCGGGTCCAGGAATTGAACCTCAGTCAACTACATGGGAGTCCAGTGACATAGCCATTACACCAACTACTGGTCCCAACATTTCTTTTATACAGCAATCAACAACATTTAGAACCTTGAGCTGGTCGTAAGTTAAATGGAAGTAGAGCCTGTCTATAGACTGTTTTTTGCTCTAAGTGACATTTTTCTTGAAGTGTATTGTCTCTGGCTAAAAAGAAGCCCACTTAAGAGCAAGTAACTGAAGATGATGCTGTTCTGAGAAGAGAAGTCCAAGAAGAGTCTCTGCTACTTCGTCATGTGTCAAGGGATGCCCATCCTCATATGTACAACCCAACAATGTCTAGAGAATATCACCATTTTTCCTCCTTTCTGCTTACATGTCTGAAATGTCTTAGAGCCTACGTTCTTGTTTTCTCTGTGAAATCTGCAGCTGCCTCTGAAGTTGGACACAGGTGCACTGACCAGGCCGTGTGGCTGAAATCTCCACGTAGATCCCTCCATCTCACTGAGCGAACATCTGATTTCCTTTCTGTGCCCACAATGTCTAGCTGCTAAGATCAGGAGCTCAGGAAGGCTTCAAACACATTGTTTTCTCCCTAACTTTGAAACTATCTCTTCGTTTCTTTTTCAACTGTAGAAACATGCAGTCTAAAGCGGATTATACTGGAGCCAGGTAACAGTATAGCTAGATCCACCTGGAAGAGTCCTAGATCCACACCCCAAGGCCTCTGTGTACATGTGGGGCACACACACGCCCATGATCCAGGCTGGCCAAGGCCAGCGATGAGGGCCCTATTGGGAGAGTCTGTCTGTCTCTCTCCATCTCTCTCCCTGTCTCTTCCTCTATCATAGAAAAAACAAATGACCAAACTTTTAAAAAATTAAAGTGGGCTATGTTAAGGCCATTTTCTTTTCTTTTTTTCTTTTTTTGGAGAAGTTTTTGCTATAGGGCGCGTGCACTCACCAGAAAGACAGAAACGGAGAGACTAGAAAATGAGAAATCACCCCCCAGGGGGGATGGTCATACCGCAATCCCTTGTCCTCCATTCTCCTCTCGGGATCTTGGGCACACATACATACACGTCTGGCATGAGTTTAAGCTACCGGGTCTGGGACTCAAACCGTGGTCAACTACATGGGAGTCCAGCGACATAGCCATTACATCAACTGCTGGTCCCTGTTACAGCCACTTTCTAACATTTCCTCTTGCTCTGAGAAAACTTGACTAGGTTTATCACATGTAACTCCTTTCCCAAACGTAAGTGTTGTCAGACAACCGTAGACATCTGTGTTCTGGCGATGTTATACTATTGAAAAGCAATACAGGGACCAGCGAATGGTGTAATGGTTACACTGCTAAACTCCCACGTAGTCAACCGCAGTTTGAGTTCCAGACAGAGCAGCACAGAAGTCACACGGGGCACGTGCATGTGTGTACCCAAAATCCTGATAGGAGAATGGGGAAGGGGTTGCGGTGTGGCCATTCTCCCTGGAGGATAATTTCTTGCTCTCTGTCTCCCTGTCACTCTCTCTCTCTCCAGTGAGAACACATGCCCTATGCCAAAAATCTCTCTCCAAAAAAAGAAAGGAAGAGAAAAGAAAACCACTATAGGGTCCGGACAGAGATGCAGAAGTGAAATGCAAAGCTCTGCGAGGCAATGCCACAAGGGAAGGCTTCTGGTCCCAGCCTGAGACCTCCCGGAGTGTGCCTGGCACGTGCTTGTTCACAGTCTGGGGCTAGTGAAGGCCAAGGGTTGATCACGGCATCAGGACGCTATTGGAAGTGTCTCTCTCTGATTCATCAAACAAATAAATAAGTCAACTTTAGGGGAGAAAAAAGACAGCACCACAGCATCACTCCTCAGAAGCTAAGTAAGCATCTTGCTCACCACGGGAAAACTAAACCCAGGTCTCCAATTCTCAAGGCATTTTCTAGGAATTCAGTTGGACTTTTCCCAAATGCTACGGCAAACTCAAGGACTGGGACTGGAGAAGACTGATGCTGTGGATTTTCTGTCCCAGTCAGGATGTGGGCCAGGTGAGTGAGAATGTGGCGAGGCACACAGACCAGGCTGAGGATGCGTCTGGCAGCCAAGACAGGAGCCTGGCACCTGTCACCTGCTTATCGCCTGCCCCAGCACCAGCCTGCCCATCTGCAGGAAGCCCAGCAACACCAACCCTGCCACCGCCGCCATTGCAGCCCCTGGAGATTCTGGAGACCAAGGTTGCTGCTGCTTCTCCAAGCCCGCAGAGCCAGCAGATGGGAGCTCCCAAGTCAGCCCTAGCCTCTCGATCCACTACTAAACCCAAGCCCACCCTCCGCCCACAGAAGTGCTATGTTTGCGATGCCGTGTCAACAAGTTAATTAGAAAGAAAGAAAGAGAAAAAGAAAGAAAAACTATTGAGGTTTAGGGTCATGTGTACTAAATGAGTATGCCAGTAACTGCTTCAAGGTTTCAGACTTTAACATTCCAAACAAAGGGTGCTACAGGCTTTTTGTTCCTTCTGAAACGCATGTTGAAATCTGGTTGCCTTGGTGGTGGCGTTAGGAGGTAGAACTTTAGAAGGTGTTATGGCCACCAAGGCTCCATGGAATTAGTGCCATTATACAAGGGTGAGTTCAGCCCCCCTTGACATTTAGGCTTCCACCTCCTCCCATGTGAGCAACATGTCTTCCCTCCAGAAGACATGGTGCAGGGTGCCATCTTGGAACATAAAGTTGATCTCAAGAAAGTCAACAGAAGCTCTTGGAAAGATTGCCTGGTGCCATAAACAGCTCTGCCTGGTAGGTAAGTAAAGAATGTCACTTCCTGACAGGCCCACGAACTTCCAAGTACAGGTTCTTAAAGGCACAGTCAGATGGTGAATTCCTGACTTGGCTCAGTAGCCTTGGGAAGCTTTTTAGACAGCCTAATCTGAAGTTCTTTATAAAAGGTTCCACCAAAGCCAACTAAATCAATTAGTATTCTTACGGGGCTTTGTGCAAAGAACAGCCCAAACTGAAACTAAACATTTTTTTTTTTTTTGCAAAAAAAGTTAGTTTATGCTTCTCTCTGGTAAAAGGGGGAATGAAGAAAGAAGAAAATGTTTCAGAAGAAAACTATAGTGAAATTGTTACTAGATTTTAGCTCTGTCCATATTTGCTGTTGGAGTTTTTAGTATCTACCTACTGTTTGGACAAATCCTAACCTATTTCCTAGCTTTTAGTCTTAAGCAAATTTTTCTTACCTTTTTTTGATTTTGATTCATTAAAGCTAAAACTGCTTTTCTTGAAATTAAAATAATAATAGCAAACCAAATGCAGTTGCAGGAGAAGGGTGGGCAGTGGGGAGGGGGAGGGAATCGAGGGGGAAAGGAGCGGAACATTTAATGGACACAAAAAAGGAAAACTGATAATAATGTGTATGATAGTATCTCTGACTGGACTGATAGGCAGTGTATTCAGGGTGGCAAAATTCATTTTGTATGCTGTAAAGATACAGTTAATAATAATAATAATAAAATAAAAATAATAAAAGATTTTTTAAAAAGGAAAAGAAAGGAAATTGGCCTCAATAGACACCAAACCTACCTGGGTGCCTTGATGTTAGACTTCCTGGCCTCAAGAATTGTGAACCAATTCATTTCTGTTCTTTATAAATTACCCGGTCTGCAGTGTTCTATTACAACAGTGCAAAACGGACTAAGTCAATGGTAAAGACATAACTGATTCAATGGTTCCATAGTGATGTAAAGGTTTTCATCAGATTCTAACCCTGCCTATTTATAATTTGTATACACAGAAGAATCAACTGCTCAAAGGGAAAATCTAAGAATCAGTCAATGTGCTAGCTAACATCAAAACAGGGAATTTCTTGATAAATTGATGTATCAGTATCATAGATGTTACTCCAGTATCTTAAAGGCAGTTAGGCTTCATTTAGTTCTTTCCCCCCTCCCCATTTTAAGTTTATTTCTTTCTTCTGTGAGCAAGAGAGACAGAAAGAAGAGAGTGACAGCACTCCGAATGGGTCTTGACGCTGTGATCTACCTCCAGCACCAGCCGGCCCTGGATTATGGGCACTCATGTGCCCGGTGTACTCAGGAGATGCCTATGGACACAATCTCAGACCTTTCCCCTGCGTGTCAGCCTCACAGAGCACCGTGTCCTACTACTGTGCCAACACCCAGTCTCTAGTATCTAATTTAACTCAGGGACAAAAAAAAAATCCCCACATACAATAAGCTGCAAATAATATTTACCTATATATGAAATTCAGTAACATTTTAAAGTATCTAAAGCTTAATCTTTACATTATTCAAAGTTCAGTTTGTGAAGACACATCACAGAACTGATGTTTCTAATGTTTGTAATGTATTTCATTTTTATTTCATTCTTTTCACCATTAATGACAGGCTGACCCATCTTTTCAAAAAGGCTGTAAATTCGGCAAAGGCATTCACTGGGTCATTTTCTTCATTACACTGGTCCACATATCAAAAATATCCGTCGTTCATTCATTCATTCATGCAGATATTCATTAAATATAGAAAGTTCACCTCACAAGGCCAAATGCTTGTACAACATACCTCATCTGGCAATATGAGCAACTGCTGATCATGACCTTGCATCCAAATAACCCTTCAGATATTCTCTTCCAATACTCACTTTGGTGTCCCCAAATAGTAGTACAGGTAAGGATGCCAAGCACCCACATACGCAAACCAGATGTGCGCACGCTTACCCTGGCAAGTGCTTCTTCAATGGTGATCATCTTCTCTTTGACCATCATCATTAGCTGAATCCGTTCCTCGTCGCTCATCGTTATCTCACTTGCCACGTAGCCGACATCTTCTCCTAGAGAGTGAGGACAAGAAAGATAAAGCCCCACACTCATACTGCACATCTACCGCCTCGGGCTGCAAGGACATCACTCAGGGGCACCGTCTACACTGTGTGCTCCCAGTGGAGCAGTAGGTTAGCAGAAACACGCTGCTTTTTATCAAGCCAATGAGCACATCTGATTGGCTTCCAAGAAACACGTAGATTACCAGAGTAGGAACAAATCCTTCAAAAGGACCAGAGTTTTTGAGGTGGAAAGTCAAGTGGAGAAGTTTTGGAGGAAAGCTGACAGGGAGTCCCTTGGTATAAGTGGGGCAGAGGTTTCATTTAAACACACAACTAAACCTAACAAACATTCCAAGGCTCCTTTGCCTGAGAGTTTTTGGGTCAATTCCTCTTGAAATATGAATAAGAAGAAAATAATTTTGCAAAGAAGCTCAGGGAACCCTCTGCAGGACAAAGATATGTAAAGTCCTTGAGTCAAACACACAATCTGGTAAAATTCTCCATTCCTACTAGGCTATTTAGCTGTTGTTTCTCCAGGGGTAAGCACAAACACATAGAATCACAGATAATAGGCATGTTGAATTTATTGAAAGCAAAGTACTACTCATCTATGTCCATATCTGAAAGTAATATTGTGACAAATAGGTTTCCAAACTGCGAGGGAAAGTCTGATGCCAACTCAAAACTGAAGGTGGCCAGAGCTGCAGAGGAAGAGGATTCCCACTGGGGTCCTTCTAAAATTTGTCCTGCAAAGGGAGCAGACTCCGTTGCCTCTGGTGTATCTGAGCCCTGCAGGTCAGCCACGCCGGTATTCAGTGTGGGACGATGGCTGTGCCCGTGAATGTGGGCTGTAACCCTTGCACCCGGAAGAAGCCCACGCTGCAGTCTCTCTTTCTCCTAGAACTCTGCCTCTCTCAGACGCACCGTAACGTCTGGTGTTGTCAGGAAGCCCAGCTGTGGCTTAGTTGGCCCCTGGAGTAGAGGGGCAGAGTAGAAGAGTCTGGCTGCAAACGTGAAGGGACCATTTCAGGCAGAGTCCGTCTTGGTTCCCCCTAACTCACTTCCACTTTGTAATCAGTCTAGAAACACCGCTCAGTTCCTGTGTCACACCTTCCCTTGTACAGGAGTAAGAATAACAGCAAGGTAAATAAGAGAGATGAAGCGGAATGTTAAATTGGATATCTATTGCCTTGGGCTAGAGAAAGATGTGACTCGGGGAGCCGTCTACACTGCATGATCCTGTTCGAGCAATGGGGTAGCACCAACACGCTGCCTTTTTAGGAGGCCAGTGAGTACCTTTGATGGGTTTTTAGAGTAGAAACTACTCTAGGGTTGATTAGGATTTCATCCCAGTTAGTTAATTTTTTAATTTAAAAAGGGGGGGGGAAGGGTTAGTTCATTTCTAGTTATAAATCACAGCAAAGACCAATCTGTAGTTTTCTTAGTCACACCAACACCTTCGAAAGATCGTTGTTTTTCTCTTGGGTTGATTCACTTTACTCTCTATGTTGCTTCTAATTACAGAATGATGCGGGGCAGTTGGTTTGTTTTTTGGTTTTGTTTTTAAAGTTTTTGTCACACCAGAGAGAGAAAGAGAGAGGGAAAGTGAGAAATCATTCCCCAAGGAGCATGGCCACACCACAGTCCCTTCTCCTCCATTGTCCTCTTGGGATTTTGGGCACACGCACACATGCATTCTGCATGATCTTCAAGCAACTGAGTTTGGGACTCAAACCACAGCTCACCATGTGGGAGTCCAGCACCTTAACTACCATGCCACCTGCTAGCCCCTTGGATTTGAGTTTTCTTAAAAATTCACATGGGTTGTAAACTATTAACTTCCTTTCCCTCCCTATCCCCGTTTTGGGTTTCTACCTAAACAAGGTTTCAATAGCATCCAGGGTTTACTTTGAATCACAAGTGATCTGATGTATATATACCAAAGGAAAACAAGGGACATTTAAGAACAACTCCATTCAAAGTAGCAAAACCTAAACACAAAACAAAACACATGAAATGTTGCCAAGGATCCCAGGAACCCAGACGAGCCACTGGCCCAGTGGTTGTCCACATCCATTTTCACATTCCCAGGTGTAGGAATAATGGGGAAAACCCAGCCATCAGGGTAGGACGAAGGTTTTGAAAAGGAAAACAACTAGTCTTACTGGTGAACAATAAAAATTTTTTTATGTATTGACAACTTTATTCAGAAGGAGTGGAATCTGGAAGTAGATTTGTCCCGGTTTCTTCTCTGAATACCGGGGACACATAAATTATAAGACTGAGCCTCAAAGGGATGACGTATTTACTTAGTACATAAACAACAACGAAAGACTCCGCCAAGGCAAGGACAGAACTCCCAGCACAAAGCAGGCCAGGGAAATTCCCACGATGTCAGGCCATTACCGAGTTTCCAGGGGCAACAACCCCTAACTGTCCCTGTCACAGCAAAGAGCATCAGAAGTTCAGAAGACTGCAGAGGCTGCAAGGGGGTGCTGACAGGAAGGTCCAGAACTACCACCCACTAAGACCGTCTAGATTCTTGAAGTGAGAGTGTGGCAAGGGGAGAATCCAGATCTTTCTAAGGTGATGACGTCACCGGAAAATCCACAGATCGGGTCTTTGTTGTGATCTACCACTAGAAACTAATGCTAACCCTTCCCATTTTGTTTGATGTAAACAGAACATTCGCCACGACAAAGTCTTTAAAAAGCAACAGGAATGTCAGAAAGTTGAAGATTATGGGCACAGCCAGTGGGCGGCATTCTACCTGAGCACTCACTGACATGAGGGGCATAGGCCTCCTCACGTTTTGAACTAAAAGGACCTACTGTCCGCAGCTGCACGCCAGTACCTTTTGAAGTCTGCCTCATTATTCCTTTCTGGTTCTTTCGGAAGTTCTGCCAGAAATACTTATTTTTCTTCTTCCAATCTCCTTTTCCTTTAAAAAAAAAGGGGGGGGGGGGAGAGAAGGCACAAACAATAAATTCATTAATAACAAAAGTAGCCTCTTCCTTATCATTCAAAGCTTGTAAGAATACTTTGATTTCACAGAAAGACAGTTTCTCTCTTTCAGTTTGTGAGAGACTGGGAAATGCCTATAAAGTTGTTTAAAAGAAATGCAAATTTGCTAGTCCCAAGAAATGGTGCAGTGGGTTTAAGACAAGAAATAAAGAAACATCAAAAAGGCAGGCAAAACACGCATTCTTGGATTCCCTTTGATGTTTGTTTAACTAGTATGCCTGATTCTGCCTCGTCTGGTGGCTTATTCCCCCCTGTGGTCTTAGCCACAATTATTTCATCTACACCACAAATAGGATACTTTAGGAAGTCAACTTTTTGTCCTTGTTATTCCCATTGTTCTTCTGCCCTGGATTTAAGCAGGGACTCCAAAGAGTTCATGGAGAATGGAATTAAAGTTCACATTTATTTTGGTGTAAAAGGATACTGAAGTCTAGGCTGGCTTCGTGGAGCCTGATGGTGAAGGCAGCTAGACCCCACATGGCCGATGGCAAGGTTCAAGTCCCAGACCCAATGGCTTAAGGAACACACTGAGCCTGTTCGTGCATGTCCAAAATCCCAAAGGAGGAAAAAGGGAAGAGAAAGGATTGTGGCGTGATAACTTCTCCATTGGGGGGGCTGCATTCTCCCACCCCCACCACCCAACCCCCATGTCATTCTCTGACAGGCACACACACACTCTAATCAGAAAAAATGGTGGGGCCGGCAGGTGGCATGATGGTTAAAGGTGGTGGACTCCCATATGGCCGACCGACCATGGTTTGAGTCTCGGACTATCTCCCTTTTCTCTCACTCTCTCTCTTTCTCCCCTCTCACTCCCCATCACTGGTCAAATTAAAAATAATAAATAAAGTTAAATATAATAATTCTTTTTAAAAATGAAAAAAGAAATCCATGCATAGTTTTTTCATGATTTTTTTTAAAGATCCTTTAAATGTCTGTTACTCGAGGTGTAACGAGGGAGAGAATGGTGAGGATGCCTTGTGCCAACTGGTCAACACAGCCAGCTCCACGGGCGTGACCCGCATGGCTTCTCTCTGGGGAACAGTTTGCAGGGATCTGGCTTTGGCATGGGCAGAGGGTGATCTGCAAGTCAGTAGCACTCAGGCTACCTGGTAGCCTACCCATAGCATACCCCCGGCACCGTGACAAGGAAAACAGACAGCAGCCTGCTGTAACACCCCCCAGCTGGGTCTCCCTCTAGCTTGGTAAATTTCCAGAATATTTCGGGTGACTCTCAAGTACAACCAAGACCACTGCCATAGCTAGACATTTAAGTATTTGGTGAAGGTTATGTTCGTTGATAATATGTAGTATCTTTTTAAAAGCATGGGGGAAAAGGGAAAGTACAGAAAGGGAATACAGGAGTATTCTTCTGTCCTTTAAAAACGAATAAATATTTTCATTTAAAATCAAATGAAAACAGCAGCAGCAGCAGCAGTGGTATCTGCCCAAGTGTGATGTATCACACTCCAAGCAGCCACGCTGCCACCATTTGGCCTGGCTGGTTGTTCCCCAGCCACTGGGAATGGGGCCCAGTCGAGGGATGGGTTTTCCCAGTCCAGAGTGGCAGTCCCAGCAAGGTTGCACGACACCATCCCAGATGCTTCCAGGCTAGAAGGGCATCAATGGTCAAACCAGGAAGCCCTTGTCGAAGCTCTTGTCAGAGCCATGGGGATGAAACTTGAGCCGTTTGGCCTACGACTTCCTGTGGACTCAGACCTTGCCACCTGGTGGCACCTGCTGCATTTGGGCTGAACACTAAGGCCAAATGTCAGATAAAAGAGATTGAGCAGACTGGTTATTACTAAAGCGACCTTTCTCTTAAGCAGTTTAGAAACCTAATGTCTTTCTTTGACTGCAAGCTGTATTTTCCTTCTCCTGTTTTAAAGTTTCTGAAACAGAGATGCAGTCTGAAACATGCATGATGACAGCTCACATTTATTCGGCACTGACTACACAGGCCAGTTGCTAGCTGAAGCACGTCTCAGCTAATATTTACTCACACGGTACACTGTTGCTCCCACTGAGCAGGTGAGAACACTGGGCCTTGCCAGGCATACCAGCTGAGTTGGCAGGGTCATGCCTGGAATCCAGACAGCCTGATTTGAGTCCTCACTCTCCACATCTCTTACCCACCCAGCCTCGGACCCAAACAGGAAGAAGGCTGGTACTACATCAAGAGTGGATTTGGTGGGGCTAGCAGGTGGCATGGTGGTTAGGCTGCTGGACCCCCACATAGCCGAGTGCAGTTTAAGTCCCTGAACTGGCAACTTGCTTTCTCACATTCCTTCTATTTCTCCATCTCTCTCTGGCTCGTGTATGTGCCCTATAGCAAATGTTAAAAAAATAATAATGACAATGATAAAATTAAATAAATAATTCTTTTTTTTTAAAAAAAGAGTGGATTTGGTAATCAAGCATATATAAAATATACAATGTCTTAATTGTGCATAATTTTTGATCCAAAAATTCCAAATTGAAGGATGGAGCTTAAGGATATTATCAAAGACAGAGACTCAGGGAGTTTTATGGCAATAGCGTTTATCTGTGATAAAGAAAAAAAAGGAACAACGTAAACTGGCCAGTAAAGAAGCTGATTAGTTAGATTATGGCACATCCATTATAATAGAACATTGTACAAAAATTTTCCTGGGGAAAACATTCAATCAGGTGGGAAAATGCTTTTGCTAAATTCCATCTTAAGAAATATCAAATAGCGGTCAGTCCCATAGTCTACTGGTTAAGAGAGCCAGATTCCACATGGCTACCTATAAGGTTCAAATCTCAATCCCAGCAGCTTGGAAAATACACGGGGTCTGTGTGCACGCATGTCCCAGATCCCTGCAGGATGGAGACATGGAAGAGAAGGGGTTGCAGCATTACCAGATCCCATTGCTGGGGAGCTGCTCTTTCTCTCTCTCTTGCTTTTTCCATCTCTCTCTCTCTCTCTGGTGAGCACACATGCCCTCTAGCCAAAGGTGGTGAGAAAAAAAAAACTCATAAAATAGTATGTAGAGTATGATCCAATTATGTTTTTATTTTAAAAAATTGCATAATAGGAATAAAAGAGAGAAAGGAGAAAGTAGTACATCGAAATCTTAACAGTGTTGGGGCTGGCAGGAGGCATAGTAAAGGCACTGAATTCCCACATGGCCGACCGTGGTTCAAATCTCAGACCTGGCAGCTTGCTTTCTTGCTTCCTTCTCTTTCTGTCTCTTTCTGGTCAAATTAGATAATGATAATAATACAAATTAAATTAAAAATATTTTATTATTATTATTTATTTAACTTAATTGAGAAAGCAAGCCTCCAGGTCTGGGACTCAAACCATGGTTGTCATGTGGGCGTCCAGCGCCTTAACCACCACGCCACCTACCAACCTCAATAATTCTTTTTTTTGTAAGAGATTTTTGCTATAGGGTGAGTATGCTTGCCAAACAGATGGAGAGAGACAGAGAGACACAGAGAAACAGAAAGTAAGAAATCATCCCCCAGGGGGATGACTACATTGCAATCCCTTCTCCTCCGTTTTCCTCTCAGGATTTTAGGCATGTACACACAGGCACCCAGCATGTGCTTCAAGCTACCAGGTCTGGGACTTGAACCACAGTTGACTACATGGGAGTCCAGCACTTTAACCACTATACCATCTGCTGGCCAAAGCAAATAATTCTTTAAAATGAAATCTTACCAGTGTTTATTTCCAGGTAAAGAGATTCTGTGTAATCACTATATATTCACATGGTTACATTTGCTACAAAGTATTAAAAGAAAATAATTAAGTAGTTAAACCAGGTTAAACTAAGTAGTTACTGACCTATAGAGCTGTCTTCGGAGTTTGATTTATGAAGAGGGTTCCTAGAAAAGAAAAACAAATCAGATTACCAGGGATCCTTGCTTCTGAGGGAAACACAAACTCCTAACTAGCTTCATCCAGCATCAATGCTACTTAACAGGGCCAGGAAAATGTTCACAGGACATCTGGCACTGGCCTCCCTGTTTGTCGACTTTCTAGAGACAGACTCACGTGCAGGTTGTCAGCCCTGCTCCAGGGTAGGACCTATATTAAATGAGGACAGACTTGGCCAGATGATGGCCAGAGGGCTTTTCATTTCTGTGAACTATGAACTAGAAGTGCGGTAAATTACTACCACTGGAAAGTCGTAGTGGAAAAGAGAAAGCAAACAGTAATGAAAATATAAACTCATGTCCCAAATGCCACTTGGGTGGGTAAAGTGGTCACCGGTAGGAAAAATAAAGGGTGGGCTGGAGGAGGGAGGGGACCCAGTGCCCAGGGCCTGGACACCACACCGACGGGGCAGTGAGCGTATGGCGTGGCTTCTCCAGGTAGGTGTGGTGGGTGGCCCGGGCACGTACATCTGTCTTGCTGAATCTCCCAGTGTTCAAAGAGAAGCCAGGAAAATGCCATTTGTATGAGCTCCGCATTTTTCAGTGATGGCCAATAATTCCATGGTTTTTAGATCTGTCCAGGGTGAGCCAGCAGGTGGTGTAGGAGTCGGGGGCACTAGACTCTGATGTGGCTGACTGCAATTCGAGTCCCAGATGTGGTGGCTTTCTTTCATTTCTTTTCTTTTTTAAAGAGATTTTTACTATACAGTATCTGCACTTATTGGAGAGACAGAGACAGAAAGCGAGAAATCACCCCCTCCTGCCCCAGGGTAGGTGGCCATGCCGCAATCCGTTCTCCTCCATTCTTCTCTCGGGATTTTGGGCACACAAGCACGCACATGTGCCCAGCATGAGTTTTAAGTCACCGGGTCCAAGATTCGAACCATAGTCTATTACATGTGAGTCCAGAGATGTAACCATTACACCATCTGCTGGTCCCTGGCTGGCTTTCTCACTTTCCCTCTTCATTTCTGTCTCTCTCTGGTGAGTGCACGTGCTCCATAGCAAAATTTAAAAAGAATAATGATAAATAAAATTAAATACTTAAAAACAATTTTTTTAAAGAAGAAAGAAAGAAATCTGTTCAGGGTAATCAATACCTATCTGGGCAGCAGAGTGGGCCTCACCTCTACCCGGCCCCCAGGCTGCCAACATGGCTGCTCACACAGACAAGCCTGAATAACCTACACAGCCAAAGTCAATGAATGATTTCTCTGAAAACACTTAAGACAATCACCAAAGTAAAGCAAAAAGGCAAGGGAACCAAAAAACACTCAAATAGTTTGTCTCGGGCCCCCAGGACTTGGTGGTTAAGGAGCTGATCCCCAACATGGCTGGCCACATAGTTCAAGTCCCAAATGGGTGGCCTGAAAAACATGCTGGATGGGGCCAGCTGGTGGTGTGGTGGTTACGGCATTGGATTCCCACATGACTGTCTGCAGTTCAAGTCCTGGACCCGGTGACTTGCTTTGCCAGTTTCCCTCTTTCTCTGTCTCTTTCTCTCTCACTCTAGAAAGCATCCATGCCCTATAGTAAATTGGAAAATAATTTAAAATTTAAAGAAAAAAAAAGAGAAAGAATGCAGGAATGAGAAAGAAAGAAAGGAAGAAGAAAGAAAGAAGGAAAGGAAGAAAAAAGGAAGAAAAAACGGGGAAAAAAGGGAAGGAAAAAAGAGAGAAAAAGAAGAAAGAAAAAGAGAAAAAAGAGAAAGAAAAAGAAAAAGAGAAGGAAGGAAGAGAGAAAGAAAGAAAGAAAAAGAGAAAAGAAAGAAAAACACACTGAGCATATGCACCTGAGTGCCTAAAATCCCAGTGGGGAGGGGAACAAGAGGCCCCATGTCGGCGCTTCCTCCCTCTCCCTCCATCTCTCTCTGGTGAACACATGTGCCCTCTGGTAAGGTAAAAAATAAATAAATAAATGGGTTTCTCAAAGAGGGGAGAGCAGAGCTTGGAGCAATATCTTTCATTCAGTGGGTCCAAAGCCCAGAGAGCTGTTCACTACCTTCGGGTCAGCTGACCAGAAAACTAAAACGCCTGCCTGGAACGGAAGCTTGCACACTCGGGGCTGTGCACCTGGAGCTTCACTGCACGTTCACTGCCAAGAAGGAAGAGGAGTCTGGCCAAACACTCTTCACCAGGGGAGACGGGCTGGGAGGCTGGGTCTCAGGGACACTGAAGAAGTTCAAGGAAGAGAAGCAAACAGCCAGATCCCCTGGCAGAAATTTTGTCTCCCTTGCAGGTAAAAAGACCTCAAGAGTTTAAGGAGACCGGAGGGAAGGGACAGGGATCTTCCCATGCAGATCTCCCCTTACCAAACCCTCTCTCCACGCCGTTGCCACACTGAGCTGGCTGCTGGCCGAAGGCCCAGGCCCTGCAAGCACCATCATTCTCCAAGGCTGAGAGCAGAGAACTGATTGAGACTAGTGTGAAAATCTCAAAGACTTGGAACCTAGGAAGGAGGAAGAACCAAGAAGTGGGGCAGGGCAAGGGCTTGACTTGAATTCTAGCTGTTTACCCTCACTCGAACTGTGAGCATCAGACCTTGTTGGAACGTAACTCCTAGGAAGGGCTCTCCTTCTACCACGCACAAACGAAAATGCCTAAACACCACTGTACTTCCATGCTTTCTTTATGAATTTTTATATGGCTTTAAGAGGTGGTCCTTTCAAATTTTAAATTATTCAGCCAGATGTACTGAGTGACAGCAGGTCAGGATACATGGATGGATATGAAGGAATGAGGGTCACAGGTTAGGGAGGGGGTGGAAAAGAACAAAGAAGCAAATGGAGAAAGGAGAAGGGGAAGGAGGAAAAGAGGGGAAGAGGAGAGCTGAGGAAGATGAGGAGAAGAAGGGGCAGTGGCAGTCTGCTAAGGACCCCAGGCTCAGAAGGGACAAATTGACAAGGCAGCAGAACAGGTGGCCAGCAGGCTGGAGATCAAAGCCAGAAATCTTTCTAAAAGAAATAAAGTTTAAACTAAATTTAGATTCTTCATTTTATTTTAAAAACATGTACTGTTCGTACAGCAGGTGGTGAAGTAGTTAAGGCTCTGGGCTCACATTGGCGATTAAGGTTTGAGTCCCTGACCTGGTGGTTTGAAACTCACACAGGGCATGTGTGTGTGCATGCCCCAAATCCCAGGAGGGTAATGGAGGAGAAGGGACTGTGGTGTGGCTACTCCTCTCCCAACCCCAGGGGGTGATTCTCACTTTCTATCTCTCTCCTATGAGCGCACTCACCCTGTGGGAAAACAAAACAAAACAAAAAGATCCTACTCTCTTGCATTTTTTTTTTTTTTGGAGAGGTTTAGCTATAGGGCGCGTGTGCTCACCAGACAGACAGAGAGAGACATAGAGACAGAAAGCGAGAAATCACCCCCCAGGGGGGATGGTCACGCCACAATCCCTTCTCCTCCATTCTCCTCTCGGGATCTTGGGCATGCACACACACACGCCCGGCGTGAATTCTAAGCCACCGGGTCCGGGACATGAACCGCGGTTGACTACATGGGAGTCCAGCGACATAGCCATTACGCTAACTGCTGGTTCCCCTCTCTTGCATTTTGAACACAAAGTTATTATGTGTCTCAGCTATGCTGATGTCAACCAGCCTCGACTCACCAGCAGCTCAAGAGCCCCCTTAACAGAGGAAGCTCCGCTTTTATTTTATACTCTGAGGATGAGGAAGGCTTGACCCAATTGCTGAGTATACCTAGCTCTGGTCAAAACTAGATAACTGTGCAATAAATGAAAACTACGTATGTAAATGTTTGCTTTTTCTAAAGGAAATATTGGGTCATTGCAAAAGTCATGATGCATTTTTGCACAGAAAAACAAAAATACATCATGACTTTCCCAACGATCCAACTGTTGTGTGGAAAAGCAGTTAAAGGATCATTCCCTTTCTACAGCCATTTGCTGATGTATAGTAATAAGCCTTACTGATGGGCCAGCGGGTGGTGTGGTGGTGCAGAGCGCTGGACTCCCACATGGCCGACTGCAGTTCAAGTCCCAGACCTGGTGGCTTGCTTTCTCACTTGCCCTCTCTCTCTCACGCTATCCCTCTCTGGTCAAATTAAAATAAATAAATAAATGTTGACTACTTCTTTAAAAAAAAAAAGCCTTACTGAGTCTTAAAAAACGTTATCAATCCAAAGTTTATGCATATCCCAAGTTTACAGGAAACTGCGGTCTCCAAGGAGTGAAGGAAGAGACTGTGGTTCCAGTTACTGAGACGACAGGGGGGCATAGCCCAGGGACTCCAGCCCCAACATCTTTCAGTACATGCCTTACTCTCTTCATCTGGGAAAACTATACAAAATCATCTCAATTTTAGACTTGAAAAATCCAAAGTTCACTTCTAACCACTCATCTTATCCTTTCTGCCAAAAGAGAACGTTTAATATCGTAAGCATATTTCAGAACATACACTGCAGAAACAGTAAATTCTCGTCACTATACACTTATCAAAATATAATTGCATTTTCCTCTCTGAAACGCTGGCGTATAATGCTGTCATTATTTTTATCTACTTTCTTTAAACAATCACCCATCTTGAGCAATTCTATCTTCAGGTTTGGACACGTTCTACTCATTGCTTGCATTTCCTGAGGACGCCAACAGATGGCACTAGAGTCCCTCTATTCGTCTTGCCGTGGCGAGTAGGATTTTGTTTTAAAATCTCTCAAGTTTGCCATCAAGCTCAAGAACAGTGAGCCAACGTTTCCTAAGTGTGAGGCTTCCCGACTCAAATGACACGGCATGAACTTGGATACAGTGAGTTCTCCCTGCAAACGTTGGCTGGCAGAGGCAGCCATGTAAAATGTCACCTCCTTTCTCCTTGAGACTGATTATAAAATAAAATTCAGCCAGCAGGAGTGAAAATCAATGATGTAACCAAATTCCTAATTCGGATGGCAGCAGGTGGAAGGGGTTATTTGCTGATCTCCTGG